TCTTTTTAAAATTTTTTATTTTTTATGTATTTGGTTGTTGCAGGGTCTCACCACGGAGCTCAGACTAGTGGTGATCCTCCTGTTTTCAGCCTCCCCAACGTTGGGATTCTAGGTACATGCCATCATGCCCAGACTTGTGGCTGGTTCGGTGCTCCCGGGGTTGGGGCTGGCATAACCTGTGGTTCCAGAGATCCAACTCCAGCCCCTGTGCTTGCCTAAGCAGGCACTTCATCCACTGAGCTATCTCATAGACCCTCCTATAATAATTTTTTAAAAAAACTTTCAACATTTATTTTTATTGTATCTTGTATTGAGATATACAACCCCTGATCGTCCCACTTTTAATGACATTGAGATCGAGCAGTGGGTTTAGGTTTTTGTCAGTATAAGTCATCCACTATGAAATTCTCTGCCATACATTCACCTCATTATTTTAGCAAACAGTGACAGTCATTACCTTGTATGATTATTTCAGTTAAGGATGAAAGAAATGGTTCTTTTGGTCATTCATTTTTATTTAAGACTCTTTACTTGCTAGTTCACCACTTGCTTTGAAACTCTGTACATCTTAAGGATACAAATCGAATTCAAATCCTTTTGTGGAGCCTTCCCTAGTTGTTGCCTGGCAGGACTTGACCCCCAGGGGGGCCATCACAAAGCACTCTGCAAGCTCTAAGGGGTCCCAACTATGTCTTAGGCTTCTTCATGTCACCCTAATATCCAGGACAGTGGCCTGAAGAGAGCAAGTAGACAATACACATATAAGATCCTTTGCTTGGGTGAGGTTCAGATGAAAAGCCCTCTACTCAGGCAAACACAAGTGACAAGATTCCAAAATAAAACATGCACACACACATACACACACAAACATATATATATATATATAATATCACAAATTTATTATAATACACACAGAACAAACCAAAACTTTGACAATTTCCATAGAATTATCCAGTTTTTAAAATGTTAACTGAAATAAGGTATAATTGAGGGAATAAAATCTCATAATTTTATAATTATGAAGCAATGTGGTATACTCGAGAATTCTACTTAAAGAATTAAGACTATAAAGTGACAGCCTTTATTAGATATTTAAAAATTTGGATTGGCATTTATTTACAATATAGACATAGGTCCTCAAGGATTCCTAGAGTGGTATGTAACAAACTAGGTTTCATAGCTTGGTGTTTTGTTAG